TTTCAGGAAACACTGCAAGAATGTTAATCATAGCTTTCTCATAATTTTATGAACCACAACAACTTTTGAATTTATGTTCTGGATTTTCCATATAACTTACATACAAGAAATTTGTGACTTTGCATTTTGTAGTCATATGTTCCATATCAAATTTCAACAATAATTAAACAATACTGTGAGCTACCAAGAAAGTGCCAAAACTTGACTGTGCATGCATGCATCTCTACACCAGTAAACATGAACAGCTAAAAATCATGATCATCATGAAACTGTCTCTTTATTCCAGCTAATTTTCTTTTTTTGAGTGCTACACAACATTCATCTCTAAACATTGTTGCTTTCCTGGTTGTTTAGATTACATAAAGGACAATTTTCACTTCAGAAATGGTTTTTTAAAAAAGTGGCTGTGGATCATGATGAAGAGGATACCAGGGAAAACAGTTTGATCACAAATGCTTCTGAAAACATATCCCATTGCTATACAGAATGAAACAACAGACAATATTGCAAGTGCTCTCCTCAATAGGAAAATGTACTGTGTTCTCCGGCATATCGACAAAATGTTAGTCACAACCTTAACCTAGATATTAGTGTAAGAAATGTGAACTCTTTCAGAAATGACAACAAATATAGAAGGGAGGGCCAGTTTCAACAATACAGGTGTTTTGAACTAGAAATTCAGAGGATCGCAAACATGCCCTTTCCCAACATCTTTCATTGTCATTTCTAAGGGTCTGCATGGGGTGTCCTGATCACGCTTTGCGCTAAATTCTGGAAGGCAGCAACCACGATTTACTCTTCATTCGTGCAAGCTGTTTGCTTAAAACACGTAGATTACATTTGATGTTAAATCCGCGTTTTTCGAATACCAATTATGCAAATTCAAATGGCAAGGCACAAAATTGTGCCAAGCAGCAACCCCATATTGGGTGTCACTTGTACAGGCTCAATTTTTTTATGCAGATTATCTACGTTTAAATGGTGAAAAGAACGACCCGGCTTCACATTATGCAAACCTAAAACGAGCGATTACGCATTGCGGCATGCAAACCCCAGTTTGAAAGAGTTCTATAAATAAAAGGAAACTCACGGTCAAGTCCGATGTTCTCTTGTCTCGTAGCTGGTGACAGGTCCCTCAGAAACACAGGTATATCCTCCTGGAATAGACAGGAACACAGATCCTCCTGGAATGTGATCCGGTGCACAGGTCCAACAGGAACACAGACAGGTCCTCCAGGACAGGAACACAGGATAGCTGACAGGTCCCACAGCACACACAGGAGCATGGACAGGTCCCACATGGTCAGGTATACAGTATCAGCTTCCCAAACCTAAAAATACACATTCAGAAAAATCACAGGCCAAATTCACATGCATCAACAATATTCATAGAGTATGCACTTACTAACATAGGATGTCCAGGAATGTGGACAGGTACACAGGATAGCTGACAGGTCCCACAGCACACACAGGAGCATGGACAGGTCCCACATGGTCAGGTATACAGTATCAGCTTCCCAAACCTAGGGTGTAAAACAAATACACATTCTTTTACACAAATAAATAAATAAATAATTACACATTAAGAACAATCATAGGCCAAAACTTACAAGTCATAGAACACGCATGTCATGAAACAAGATACATCATACATTCTAAATTTGTTAAAGAATATCATGACCAAACAAACAATGTCACAACCACATAAAAGTAACACCTCACATAACATTTCACAGCAAAACAATCCATATGAGAAGTTCAAATATATTTCAATAGAACATTGTCAGCTTCATCTAAACTTTAAACTAAAGTGTGCATGAAGGGCAATCTGCAAGTCTACAGTTCAAAACTGTAACCAACAACACGTGAAATTCATTTCAAACACAAGTTCAACAACTTTCAAGCACACTGGTCATGATGACAAAACATTGTAGGAAATCAGTTTGACAAGATAATTTCTGAATTCTTGTAAAAGCCAAGTGTAAAATCTAGGAGGCTAGAAACCTCCTTTGTAAAAATACATACATAGCAACAAAAAAAATCTTAACACTGAAATACAACCAAGTAAATCTATCTTGCAATCATCAGTAATTCATAAATACATAAAGTATCGAAACAATGACTTTAACCAGTGCAATGTACACCCAATTAAAATTGTCAGACCATCGATGTAAAATGGTCAAACTCATTACCATAATTTATGCGCCCTCGTGTATGCCACGCCACATGCTCAAAAACTCGGGCATATTTCTGTGTTGTTACGGCGTCTTTCCACACAAGACTGCCCAAAAGTGGTCACAAGGATACAGAGAACAAAGTTACGTACTACTCACCTCCTAAAACAGACGTTTCTCGTCTTCCTGAGGCGAAGTTTCAGCAAAAATTTCTCCCGCTCCATGTTCAGCCGCCATCTTGGAACTTGTGAGCTCCCATGGCCTCATGGGTAGTTCCCACCTGTTGGTCCTCAGCCAATAATTTGAATAAAGATAATGAAATCATTTCTGGGTAGAAGCGCACATTTTCAGATTTTGTCTATTTTCTTTCTTTTTGTCATGTTTAAGAAGAAACTGTGATGTGCAACTCGGTAGAATATCGATGCCAACACTTTCATGGAAGGGGAATACAAGGATAATGTCCTTGGACATGTCAAAAATGTAAACAGTTAACCAGTTACTTCAATGCCTGTCCTTGGTGCTGAATGCCATCCACACATAGCCAAACATTCCTGAACACATCTAGCTACAAATAGCTACACAATTTTGTCCCTGGTTACCATAGCTAGATGGTACAATATCTGTCCTTGGTGCTGATCGCCATCCAAGCACAGCCAAACAGTTCTGACTACAAAATATCATCAAATATCATGTGAGTCGCCTCGTTACAGGCACAGCACCACAGACACCTTACATGTGCTACCTGAGTTTGGATGAGAAAGACTATGACCACCAAGTTATGTATTCAGAGCCCAAAACAAAGACTTTCAAAGTCAAGAAGATATGAAAGACTAAAAATACAGAATTTATTTTTTGGCATACCATGTTTTGTGTCTTCAGTCATTTGTTCAGGGGCACTGAGGGGTGCTTTTGATCCATGGCGCTATTAACCAATGAGCTACTGCAGTGATTTGTTTTGCTGTACTATGGGGCTCTTTTGATCCATGGTGATTTTAACGCCTCAGAACTATAGAAGCAGGATTTCTTTCTGACTGGAATTGTAAGATAGAAGATTATACTTTGAGTCTCATTGACTTAGATACAGATTACTAAATTAAAAAGAGAGAAGACAATGAAAGATTAAGTCTAAAAGAAAGGGAGGGGTGGTAGAGAATTAATCAATCCAAAGTTTCTGTATCAGTTCATGCCTGCATTCTTGCTATTG